TATTTGTGTTGAATAAAACCTGAGGAAGTTTTCTTTCCCTGTTATTATCAAGAAGGCTGTATATAACAGATGAGACTGTAGGTTCTACTTACAGACTAATCTTGATTCTTTCCCAGTGAAGACATTTGACGACAGAATGAAGTCTCTGTTCTAAGAGTATGAGGGACATATGTAACATACTGTATGTCCAGTAGCCCAGAGGTGGTCCTTAGCACCATGTGGATGTACAGTAGGAACGTAAGATATAAAGGAACATAAAAAAAATCTGGTCAGATGCCATGTCTAAATTAATGAAGGTAGATGGTTTATTACATTTCTCATAAATAGCAAGGAAAATGGAAGAAAAATAAAAATAAAACCCAATGTGATTGGCTGCATTTGTTTTCCTATTTTTTGTTGCCTATGAATACAACTATCAGATTAATTACAGTTCTAAATTTAACATTAAAAGAATTTCTAGAAAGCTGCAATATAATTTATGTGACAGATAAATTTTGTCATGTAATCCTAGAATATGACCCAAAATTTTTACTTTTTCTTGGCATTAGGTACCATATTATTGATCTTAATTTAAATGCTACACCTTGATGCTTAGGGAAATCTGTTGAATTATCAACTAATTCTCCTTCCAATTTTAAGCTTGTTCATTTTGCTACACAATTAATTTTTATTATATAAACCCATATAACTCTTTCTGACACTTTCTTTTGTGTAAAATTGTATTCAAAAGGTAATTTCAGAATAATCTCTTGAAGAGCTCTTATGCCAAAATTGTTTATTAGGCCAATTAAAACGGAAAGTTATTTTTGCTTATAGTATGAAAACTGTTGGCAATTTTTAATCAATTCACATAACATTAAATAAGCACCATTGCAGGCCAGGTATGGTGGCTCACACCTGTAATCCCAGCACTTTGGGAGGCCATGGTGGGGAGATCACCTGAGGCCAGGAGTTCTGCACCAGCCTGATATGGTGAAACCCTCTCTCTACTAAAAATACAAAAAATTAGCTGGGCACGGTGGCATGTGCCTGTAATTCCAGCTACTCAGGAGGCTGAGGCACAAGAATTGCTTGAACCTGGAAGGCAGAGGTTGCAGTGAGCCAAGATCATGCCACTGCACCAGCTTGGGGAACGGAGTGAGACTCTGTCTCAAGAAAATATTTTAAAAATAAGTAAATAAACACCATCGCAAAGGAATTAACCAATTAAGAAAATATTCAGTTTTTTAAATTTAATAGTTAGCGTAAATTGTATGATAAGGGAATAGAGGAAATATTGGAAGTAAGGTAGAAATTAATTAATCTACTGTTACATGTAAATTTTCAGTGCCGCAAAAGAAGTAGCACTCGAAAGTAAATTTCCTCAGCAAGGCAATTTACTTCTATAGAAGGATGTGGCTCACAGACAGATCAATGGCACACCTGGGCAAGGGAGGGGAAGGAGCTCTTATTCCCTGACACAGGTAGCCATTACTGCTGTGTCGTCCCCCTATTGTCTAGGATTAGATCACACAGTCTGGTCTAATTCCAACTGGCTATTTTAAGGGGAGCAGGGGTATGAGCCGGAGTGGTGGGGTGGGTAGGTTGGCGGGAAGGACTGTTATGGGATGGGTCCCAGCAGGTAGCCAGGAGTGACCTAGGTCAAATCAGGTGACCAGAGCAAGTGACAGGAGCAGGTGACTGGGATGAGTCAGGATGGAACAGGGGACTGGGGGAACAGATGTGTACTACTGATTAGAACTGGTGGAAAAGGTTGTTTACTGAAACTCCAAGGAATTTTAACTTTAAAATGGAGGACAAAGAACTGAACATACTGACATACTGACTCTTTGAAGAGAAACTTGGAGTTCACTATAACTAATACTACCATGTTACTAATATGTCTTACTGGCTTTAAGTAAGCATTTCATATGTAATCATTGACCTTCTATAAACACGTATCGAGAATTTTAATGACAGTCCTGATGGTGCCTAAGCACACCATTATGTTATAGGCCCAGTGATCCAATACTGATTTTAGGAAATATGGTCATAGCATAACTTTCATGTCAGCTGAAAAGAACAGAAGCAATGTGAAGGAAGGGGAGTTAAGAGACCCAGAACACAAAGTCCAAGAGCTGCACGAAGATAGCAATAAAAATAGTGAGGGAAATATATATTTTTATAACCCAGGGTAAGATAATTTACTTAAGAAACTCCAAGAAATAAGAATGTAAAAATGAGACACACTGAAAAAATTGTATAGCACGAAATTCAGAGGACAAAAATCAATAGAGAGAGACTCATAGATGTGGCACCATTGAAAAAAAAATTAGACAAACAGATGAGAAACAACCATGTTGATTATGCCCAGAAACCAAACTCCCTGGACCAGCAGCATCAGTATCACCCGGAACTCGCTAGAAATGTAGATTTTAGAGCCCCAGACTCTCCAGACTTACTAAGTCACCAACTCCAGAGGGTGGGACCCAGCAATCTGCTTTAACAAGCCCTCCAGGTGATTCTGAGGCACTCCAAATGCAAGAACCACTGGTTTAGATTTTCTAAGACTTTAGCCTCCGTTCTTTACTCGGAGTTGTCTTAGTTGTCCTTTACAAACAGCTAAATGTTGATGTAAAAAAAAAAAATACAATAGAAAGATAGCGACTTCTCAAATACACAATAATCACAGGTATTCAAATAACTGGAAGGTATCCAAAGTTCTTCTGCCACTCAACTTGCTTAACAGCACTTGCCTTCAGTGAATGTCTGAAAATAAAAATTAAATTTAGTACTGGTAACCCAAACACAAGTAGAATAGAAAATAAAGTAGAAAATATGCTGCACATCAAGGCTTTTTGGTTTTGGGGTTTTTTTTTTGTTTTTTGGGTTTTTTTTTTTTTTTTTTTGATATGGAGTATCTCTCTGTCACCCAGAAAGTAGTGCAGTGACGAGATCTTGGCTCACTGTCACCTCCACCTCCTGGGTTCAAGCGATTTCCTGCCTCACCCTCCCAAGTAGCTGGGACTACAGGCATATGCCACCAGACCCCACTAATTTGTTTGTGTGTGTGTATTTTTAGTAGAGACGCGGTTTCACCAAGTTGGCCACTTAAATTCCTGACCTCAAGTGATGCACCTTCCTCAGCCTGCCAAGTGCTGGTATTACAGGTGTGAGTTACCACGCCCCGCTCAAGGTGTTTTATAATATACCTAGCCACATTATATGTATGATTACTCATATTCCTATTAAATACTTGATATAAAAATATTAAATATTTGAAAGTATTATTTTATCAGTTCCAACGAATAAAAGAGAACTATTTTAAAGTTAAGGAATATGAAATTATAGTAGTAGCCCTAAGAATAAAATTATCAGGTCTCCGTATTGTTCTTTCCTAAAATATAGGTAACTGCTAAAAAGTTATTAATGAGAAGAGGACTGATGGAAATAATATGCTACTTATCGGAGATATTTAATCCTATTTCATTATACTCCAAATGTTCTTAATTGACTTGTAATTAATATCATGGACTAAAGCAAAACTTATAAGCCATGAATGGAGAATCCTTTTTCAGAAGCAAGATAACCCATTCATTACAATAGTGACTTATAAAGAAAAATAATTTCCATTTCAGGGTGAATGCCATTATGAGCTGTCCTTACTAGCAAGTTCCTTGGGAAGTGAGTTGTTTGGTCATAGCTGCCATTGTCATAACGGGTAGTGTTGTATGGTTATTTGATTCCAACTAATCTTATTTTATCTGTTTAACCAAATTAACTACTTACATCCACAAAGACAAGTAAGCGCTCTGACATTTTCCTAATTTCATACAATGATCATGGAATGCTAAAGATATACTAATCGTTTCTGCTATTTCTCTTTATATAGCCTCTGTAGCCTGACAAAAATATATTAAAAGTTCCTTTAGTCTCCACAAGCCTAATGATAATGATCTCAAAGTAACTTTCAATTCAGTACAAATTTATTCTTTATTTTGAATACTGTTTTTAATATAATATTTCCTTATATTACTTCATACAATGCACAAATGATATGTGCTTTTGTTACCGGACCAAATCGAGAGTTAGGCTGCTATTTTTCACAGCCCAATAAGAAGACGCAGATGAACAGGGGAAGAAGAGAGTTTTTATTTCTGCAATTGGTTACATGGAGGAGGCCTGGAAATCATCACCAGACCAACTCAGAATTACAAAGTTTTCCAGAGCTTATATACCTTATATACCTTATAAGCTATATGTCTATGTGTGAGTGTGCATTCATCTGAAGACAAAAGATTAACTTCTTTTAATTTATAACTGAGGTCTGAGTCCTGAAGACCTTCTTCTGGAGCCTCAGTAAGTTTATATAACCTAAATGGGTCAAGGTGCTGGGGTGATTACCCTTATCTTGTCTCCTGCTAAATCATAAAAGTTTGGGGAGTTCCTTTAGACCCCAATAAACTTGTTTGTGGAGTTTTTCAGACCCCTAGTAAAACTTGTTAATCCTAAATGGGTCCTGTTAAGAATTCCTTTGTTATTTTGTCATGCTTCAAGCCCAGGAAAAGCCTAGGCAAAACTCTTGGTGGGCTCTTTGTTACATAAGGGCACTGGCTCTATCAGCTTTGAATATTTCACTTAACTACTCAGTCAGTACTGAAACAGTTGTTATGGAGGGCTGCATTAGTGAGACTGGGCCTGCCACACTTTTAAACTTTTTCTGATGTGGACAAAGAGAAAAACATAGCAAGAGTTCATACAGTTCTAAACACCAAGTCTATAATGATAGACATTTCATTGAGTAACAAGCTAGTTCATTCATTAAAAATTGTTGTATTTAAGCTATATTTTAAGAAATGTTTTAGAAGTCACTGGGTTTTTTTTTTTTTCTGTTCTCATTGAATTTCTTAAATAAAAAGGAAAACTAAAACCTTCCATCTGAACTTCATTTTTTAATCTATAAAATATTCTGGGAAAACATAACATATACTTTTAAAAAATTATTCTAAAAGGAAGAGAAAAGTTCTTGAAGCCTTCTCTGAACTGTTTTTTCTCTTCCTTTGTTACAGGTATCTATTTTTCAGCTATATTAATCTTTTAAAACAAAGAAAATGGATTTCTTAAATTCATCTGATCAAAACTTGACCTCAGAGGAACTGTTAACCCGAATGCCATCCAAAATTCTGGTGTCCCTCACCCTCTCTGGGCTGGCACTGATGACAACGACTATCAACTCCCTTGTGATTGCTGCAATTATTGTGACCCGGAAGCTGCACCATCCAGCCAATTATTTAATTTGTTCCCTTGCAGTCACAGATTTTCTTGTGGCTGTCCTGGTGATGCCCTTCAGCATCGTGTATATTGTGAGAGAGAGCTGGATTATGGGGCAAGTGGCCTGTGACATTTGGCTGAGTGTTGACATTACCTGCTGCACGTGCTCCATCTTGCATCTCTCAGCTATAGCTTTGGATCGCTATCGAGCCATCACAGATGCTGTTGAGTATGCCAGGAAAAGGACTCCAAAGCATGCTGGCATTATGATTACAGTAGTTTGGATTATATCTGTTTTTATCTCTATGCCTCCTCTATTCTGGAGGCACCAAGGAACTAGCAGAGATGATGAATGCGTCATCAAGCACGACCACATTGTTTCCACCATTTACTCAACATTTGGAGCTTTCTACATCCCACTGGCATTGATTTTGATCCTTTACTACAAAATATATAGAGCAGCAAAGACGTTATACCACAAGAGACAAGCAAGTAAGATTGCAAAGGAGGAGGTGAATGGCCAAGTCCTTTTGGAGACTGGTGAGAAAAGCACTAAATCAGTTTCCGCACCCTATGTACTAGAAAAGTCTTTATCTGACCCATCAACAGACTTTGATAAAATTCACAGCACAGTGAGAAGTCTCAGGTCTGAATTCAAGCATGAGAAATCTTGGAGAAGGCAAAAGATCTCAGGTGCAAGAGAGCGGAAAGCAGCCACTACCCTGGGATTAATTTTGGGTGCATTTGTGATATGTTGGCTTCCTTTTTTTGTAAAAGAATTGGTTGTTAATATCTGTGAAAAATGTAAAATTTCTGAAGAAATGTCCAATTTTTTGACTTGGCTTGGGTATCTCAATTCCCTTATAAATCCACTGATTTACACAATCTTTAATGAAGACTTCAAGAAAGCATTCCAAAAACTTGTGCGATGTCGATATTAGCTTTAAAAATGTTTATTATTGAAGGGTGGGGATTTTTGAGGGGGGCAGTAACTAAATGAATGCTAAATAATAAAACATTTAAGCTTTTAGAGAGAAATATATAAAAACTGCTAAAATGATAAGGCTATAATTTATATTTTATTATCAATGTGAATATAAAACTTATTTATCACCATTATTCTAGGGTACTCAAAATTAGAAAATAATTTATGTAGGCTATAGACAATATTTTGCCTATGCAATGTTCCTAAAAAGCTAACTGGAAAAAAGTAATATGCATACATATATACAATATTAATGACAGCGATTTTCCAAGTTTATGTCTTACAATAATTATAGAGGAGTTTTCAATGAACAACATACCTCCCTTCCTAATTTCTATCTAGTCCTATTGTTTTATAATATAATCCTACTATTTTGTAGAAGAAAATATAATTCACCACAAAGCACACATTTCTCCTGTCTCCCTTCTCCATCTTACCCTGAGCAAAACAGAGGGGGAAGGAGGCCACGCTTACTTAGTATGACAGAGAAAATGTAAAAAAGTCAGAGACTGAAATTATCCTTGTGTTAGGTAGTAAAGAGTAATCATAAAGTGAGTTAGGTACAGTAAAATAATTTGATACTGAATTTGTGCATATTTAATATGTTTGTTTAGTATAAACTCCTAGAATAATATTATCTTATCCATATATTATCAGTATTTAAAATCAAAGCCTTACCTTAGTGTCCATAACTCAACAAAGGAGCATGGGTGACGTTGTTGTAATTGCTCCTTGTTTACTTAGGAATCAAATTTAAGGTACTAAATATCATAGGTTACTGACCACAGCTTTTATATTTCTAACATCTTTTTAAAAAGATAAAATGTATTTCATTTCTGATAATGATAATAAGCTCAGTTACTAACTAAATTGTCTGTGGTACTTTGCACTTCAGTATTTCCATACCTTTGGTTTGAATATCATTTCCCCTTTATTAGACAGAATACAATGGGAATTTTTAGAACTTTCCCTTGACTTTAAAATATTTCTACTTTTCCAATTGGTAGGAATGAACAGGCAAAAGGACTCACATTTCACTTATTAATAAATGTACAAATATATGTATATTTGTAATTAGGCATTCTACTAGTTCAGTGAGCCAAAGCAATTCAGTAAGTTTTTCTTCCATATTTATATAAGGATTTGGAAACAATAGAACCAGGGGTTTGAGAGGATTTTATTTTCTTTGAACCAGCAAGGTCATAGACTACCTTTCAGATGACCTGTCATCAACCAAGATCATTTGAAAAACAAAATATACCTTTTTTTTAAAGTTGTACCTTTATGTGTATTGTAAATATTCCTTCCTGGTGGTGTACTTAAGAGTACATTACATCAATTTTATGTATATATATCTGTGACAAATTACTCTCAATCTAACAAACATTTACAAAGTTCCCATTTTATACAAGGCATGGAGACATATACTAGATAGAAGATACAGGAAATAATAAAATACAGTTTTTTTCCTTAATATTTTTACAGTCTAAAAGGAGAAACAAGAAAAAATTAAAACTATAATAGAAAAGAGCAAACAAAAATCTGGCATGGAAGTTGTTTACACAGTTATGATGGTGCAGAGGAAAAACTGATCACATCTTGTTTAGAAAAATCAGAAATATTTCATAAAGAGTGTATCTAGAACACATGTCAAGTAAACAGCACTGGGGCAAGAGAAATGGAAGAGCACACTCCAGGTGGTGGCAACGCCAGGGTACAAACTGCACCATGCAAGTGTTTGGTAAGCTATGTTCATGAAATAGCAACGAGCTTGGCAGCTATTTAGAGCAATAGAGGAAAAGGAGATTAAAAGAAAAAGTGGACAATTTTGTGGCTGACTTAAACGTCAGAAAAAGAGGTCTACAGTCAATTTTATTGCTAGTGATGGGTAATCACTGATACTTTTTAGCAAAAATATTACAAGTTTAGAGCAAATCTAAACACAAAAGAAAGAAAGAAAAATGTATCTTTCTCAATTCCATCAGTTATTATTGAGATATGACTTCCTGTTAGAAAGCAAATCAATAATCTAGGCAAGAGGTGATGAAGTCCTGAACTTGATTCTAGCAATGGGAATAAAAAGAAAGAAACTGATGAACGATGGTATGAAGAAGTGCAATCCTCAGGTTATAACAAATTCTTTAGTAAGCAAACAGAGGGAGAGAGACATGAGTCACTGAGATAATGTCCTTAACCAAAATAACGAAACCAACCAAAAGGGCCTATCGGTGAAATGGTTACTTCTTTTTTGGGTATATTAAACACATAAAGACATGTCAGAGCATGATACTAATGACCGCCTCTGGCTGAAGCAACACTGACAGATGAGGTTTCTCTCTGACCTCAAAACTGACAGGTCAACCAGTGTCCCAGTCAAATCTTTTGTCCTCGCTTCACTTTACCAGCCAATGGCCCTTATCCTGTGTTCACAGGCCACAGCCTGCCATAATCCCTGTCATTCTCTGCTTACTTCTCTTTCCCTTCTCACTTACCAAAACTTAATTGTGTGATTCCTTCATCCAATGATTTTGCTGAAGTTAAAATTATCTGTTAAGATAGTTTATTTATACCCATGTCAGAAATTTATTTATTTGTATTAGGAAACTAAAAGACACAACAAATGAACAACCCAAGGAGAGTGAGGCGCACCCAAATACACATACTGCCCTCTGATCTGAGTTGGACTGAGACCCAAAGCTAGGAAAACACCTCTGTAAGTGACAGGGAAGTCATAGATCCCTTCAGAGCTCAGAGAAGAATCAAGTTTATCATTTCTGTGCATATGAAGCCATTTTTCATCCAAAGAGCCACAACAAATTGCAATTGTTATCACAGAAAATCACCAAAAATTATCACAAAAAATATAAAGATGAATATTTAGTTATTTTCTTTTATTGAATCAGGATCTCACTCTGTTGCCCAGGCTGGAGTGCAGTGGTGTGATCTCAGCTCACTGCAACTTCTGCCTCCTGGGCTCAAACCATTCTCCCACCTCAGCCTCCTGAGTACCTGGGACTACAGGCATGCATCACAGCGTCCAGCTAAGTTACCTACCTTTTGTAGAGACAGGGTTTTACCATGTTGTCCAGGCTGGTCTTGAACTCCTGAGCTCAAGTGATCCTCCCTCAGCCTCCGAAGGTGGTGGGATTATAGGTGTCAGCCACCTCACCCAGCCTATTTTATTTTTCTAGAGACAAAGTCTCACTCTGTTGCCAAGGTTGGCTTATGAGTTGTGTCATCATTGCTCACTGCAATCTTGAACTCCTGGGCTCAAATGATCCTCTCACCTCAGTCTCCCAAGTAGCTGGGACTACAGGCATGCACCACCACACTGGGATAATTTATTTATTTCTTACTTTTTGTAGCGATGAGGTTTTGGTATGTTGCCCAGGCTGGTCTCAAACTCCTGGCCTCAAGTGATCCTTCCACTTTGGCCTCCGAAAGCATTTGGATTACAGGTGTGACTCACCACACCCAGCCTCTCTTCAATATATTTAAAGTGGTAGGGTCAGGTAGGTTATATAAGGATTAATCATCTACAATTTGTACTTTCTTTGAAACTTATGAAGGACAGATTACATAATTGTAATGATATATTTCTCTGAATACATAGGATTTCAATGAGAGTTTTCTCTCATTGAAAAATCTTCCTAGTTACTAATATCTAAGTACTTTTACAGATATATATATATATACATGTATGTATATATATATACATGTATATATATATATACATGTATGTATATATATATATATATGTATATGTATTTGGCATCTATAACAATGTAGCAATGTAAGGATTTATATATTTAACTCATAGGGTAGAGGGAAAAAATATAAATATCATAGAAAGTAGTTAAATATTAGATCAGGAAGAGTTGCCTCCTGCTAGAATTTTAAATATACTGGCACCAGAAAATTAGGTGAAGATTTTATTTTTCCTCCACTCCTTAAAACTTAACAAGTGATGCAAGGCGTGGAAAGGAGACCAAAGAAAGATAGAAAGCCACACTACTGAAAACCTAATATAGTCCAATACTCTACCATTAGACATACCTATGTAAAAATCATGCTTGAAAATTCGTTTCTGCTTGTGAAACATAATCGTAGGACTGGTTTAAGCATATGGATTGTCTAGGTTAACTGATTTTGTTTTGTTTTGTTTTGGTTTTGTTCGGTTTTGCAATAAACCCACAGGGTCAAATCTATAGCACCGTTTCTTCAAGTCCCGGCAGTCGATGGGTCCATCCTTCAGTAGGGCCAATTTCCATTTTAAATCTCCAAAACCAGTTTCCTTTCTCTTTTGCAGTGATTTTGATCCCACGCTCACCTATCCCCAGCTTGCCCTAAGTGGTATGTCCCTTGCTTATATCAGTTATGTCAGTTCCAAATTTTAAAATTCCCTTAGCACAGCATAATCCCCATAATCACAGGCTCAAAGTTAAGCTTGTCCCTTTGTACCCAAAGAGTGCTGTGTCAAAACTAAATGCAGAATTAATTGGAAGCCAATTACTAGGCAATGCATTGATTTGCTCCACCAAATAGCATGAAAGTAGAGATTATCATAAGCTTATTGCTGAAGTGCATTCCTCTACTTCAAGGAAGAAACCATTTTCTCATGACTTTAAACCAGACTATTTTTAACTTATAGGTCAAATAATTACATTTACTGCTTTACAGTACAAAGGAAGCAAGAAAAAATTTTCCTTACCATATCCCAAAGTCCTTCAAAAGTAATCCTGCTCAATTCAAAGTCTTCATATTAATTTGTTTCAGAAAATGTGAACTGAACTCTAGACTCTAGACTGTAATAAATAACTAAAATGGTTATATTCAGACCCTTATTTTGCCAGAAAATATTTCTGAAAGCAAATTAATATTTTTGTTATCAATAAAGTAAACTTTTTCTTACGATATTGGGATACTTTTTCTTGGTCATTTGAATCAATATGCTTTCTCTTATTATTTAAAATGAGGAGCTTATTGTTGAGAGAACTATTTTTCAACATTATAATAATCACTGAGTTATTCATACAGAATATCTTCTCTGTACAAAATGTGGCGTGCTTGAAGTCCACTGGAGAAGGATAAGATTTTTTCAAAGAATTTACACACTCTGGTTAGGCCAGAAACCATATCAATTTTGTTTGAGTGAAAAGATAAAGTATTATGTTTATCAACAGTAACAACAATAAATCTTGTCAAAGCAATCTTTCATCAAAACTTGTGTTTAGTTTCAGTTCCAATTTTTATCACAGAGTTTCCTCTTCGGCGAGGACACTAAAATTACCTTATTGGTTTATGTAGACACAGAAAACCAAAGCAATGTGCATAAGATGCTTGTTACATAAGGTGCTTGTTACAAAGTCAAATTCCAGGTTCGAAATCAGAATAAGCTCAAGTTGAATCCTGGTTCTTCTGCTAATCATTAACTTTATGCTAAGCAAGTTTTGTCTATCCTGCTTTCTTCAGATTAGAGATGAAAGACTAAGGAGATAGAGTGAAATGAAGCAAATGTTCTTGAAAAAAATCCTAAAGGACTATAAAATAGAAATGTGCATTATTTATCACTATTCTCCATAGTAAGGGGTGAGTCAGAAGGCACTTGACATGCAACCTAGTGTTCTGCATTGTGTGTTACCTGTTTCTGAGTGTGGAGAAGAGCTAGTAAGTTCTCGTCGGACTTCTGCTCCCGGCTCCCCATGGTACAGCAGTGACTCCCAATAACCCCATCCACAGCCACAAATACCACGCTTGTGGGTACTCGCCAGTTTTTTTCCTGTGCTCTATACTGTCATCCTTATTACTAAAAGACTGGCATACTTAACGCTTGGTTAGCTTTCTAGAACAATGCAATGCAATCCTTCTACCCTATTAAATTCATAACTGCAATTATTCCAAGAGTAATTTCTTCTATGGTATATTCAGAGATGTTTTTCCATATGTTCTAGATTAGGGTTTTATTTCAATCCTTTAAATAATAAAGGGGAAACTTTCATTCGAAATGAAACTTCTAAGTTGATGAAAACAAGAATAGAGGTTTAATTTTAGGTTCTATTAAGTATTAGAAAAAATACTACTAATTTCTATGCAAATATTGATACTTAAGAAACTACTCAATATCAACGTCTCCCTGTTGCTTATTACGCTGCATCCAGGCTCTCTTCCTTGGCTTTTAGGGTCTTCATGACCACAGTACATTCTCTGGAAAATCTTACTTCCCACTATCCTCCTTAGTCCCAACAAATGCTGTCTTCTCCAGTCTGATCCCTCTCTCCGCTGTCCTCACCATGTGCCTTCCTCGTTCTTGTTCCATTGCCCTTTAGGCTTTTTGTTTTCCTCTGCCACCTGAAGTGCCCTCTACCTCCTTGATGTTAAGCCACTTATCCTTCAAAGTACAGATTCAATTTCACTTCCTCCTTGAAACTGAGTCCATACCGTACTTGAAGTCAGAATCCCTCAATTCGATTTCCAATAATTTATTATTTGTTTTAAATACCTCTAATTTCTTCATGAGTGTTTGGTTTTTATTCTGACTAAAAATAGGACTGCAAGTTATTTAAAAGACATTTGTTTATTTCCGTCCCTTCCACATTTATCCCAAATATTTATCTTTACTTCTATATGTAATAAAAGAAATACAAATGTGTTTTTATCAAAAAAGAAACTGAGAGGGTGTTAAAAATAGAAAAGTCATGCTTATTTTTCAATAATTAGAGAATACCTTACATATAATGAAATACAGAAAATTCATAGAACACTAATTTTCTGGAAATGTGTATGTATAATGATACATTTCAAAAAGCTGTTTGGTAATTATACATTATTAACTATGTATGCAATACATAAATATGCTTTAAATCACCTATTTCTAAAGGCTATATTTAGTTATTATTTTAAAACAGATATAAATAACAAACCACTTGGTCATATTAAAATTAAGCTATTGGCTTCCAGCCCATCTAATGTGAAATTACATTTCTTCATAACTTCCTTACTGGCCCCAGCCCCCTCTGTTTCACAATTTTTGTGTGGATGAAAAGAGGATAGCATTTTCAAGTAGGGAAATATCTCTGCAATGAAACAGGAAATGCAATATGTTCTTCAGCTCAAAAGGAACAGCTCTTACTTCCTGAGGAATTATAGAAATCACTCCATATATTTTTAAAAGCTAGAGAAATAACTTAGCAGTTTCTTATCAGTTTCACTTAACTCAAGCATCTTAAAAGATCAAATCTTAAAGGTATAAAACATTAGATTTTTACAGTTTAAAAAATTGGATCTTAAATTCCTTAAGGTCTTAAGGCCCACACCCGTTTCACCACCTTATATGATTATGGTACAAGCACTAGCATAGAAATAGCAACCCTTTAAAACTGCCCATATTTAAAGCAAGCTCCTGAGAACCACACCAATCATGGGAAACACACTGCATGTCAACTCTGGCAACTGAACTGAGCTCTCCCCATTCTCCAAGAATCCTGTTTGTCACTGTTGACCCGCTGTCCACAAGCTTGTGTTCTCATTACATATCCCTAAAAAAGGGAATAAAAGGTAAATTGCAAGCTAATAGATTTATTTCTTGTGTTTCTATTTATTTCGGTATTTCAAAATATGAAACTGAACTCAACAATGACTTTTCGTGTTAAGCTTTGCGGTTTTTTCTCTGTTATCATCCATCCGATCGATCTAAAGGCTTAAATACTATCTATTCTACTTGCCATACTTACACAAATAACTTCAATTATAAATGCATGCATCTCTTAGGAATCTACGTTCCTTTTCACTACTCTTATTAGTATGTCATATGCAAAACATTTAGAGGCTCAGGTTGAATAATAGATTTCTTGTATTTGTATTTTCTATTGAGTATTGTCTGAACTAGACTTGTATATGTATACTATTACACATGAGCCAAAATTTAAATGCACTTTCTTTCTCAAAATCTTCCCATTGATGAAAAATAACTTATAGTAGTTTTTATCCTTCATTTTTGAAAAGACAAGAAACAACAGTTGTTTATTTTAACAATTTTAATATTAATTGCCCAAAGTATAGAAAATGTTCAAACATGAATTTTAGTAGTCTATGAAGTATAATCTGCTCAGTTTGTTGCTGTTGTTGAGGGTAAAAAAAATAAATGTATGCTGGAATTTAATGTTGCTTAGCCCAAAAACAATATAATATGAAATAAACCATGTTCTCCAATAATGACTGTTTGCTTTAACTTAAAGATTTCAAAACATGCTATAGCATCCTATTAATAAAACTACAAAGGAAGAATAATGATGTGCAGTAGACATGAATTTTAAGTATCCAAGTGTTTGTTCCAAGTGTTTGTGGCAGCCTGAACTTTAAAGAATCTTTTTCATTTGACTGTGCAACCTACCAGAACTCCACTTCTGGTCCTTCACCTCACTTCCCTAAAATTAAAAGAGTTAGCATTCTCGTTTTTAAAACTCAGTGTAGAGCAAAGACAATTCCTTTTATTTTTCCAAATTAAAAAAAAAAAAAAAAGTAAATGTAGTTACTGCAATCTTGTTACTAAATAATATTGTAGACCATTACTTTTATTATTTTGAATTTTTTAAAAATCAGGAAACATAGTTACTGAAATATTTTTATTAAATAACATTCTGAATTCAAATCTTGCAAGAACAGTTTTGAATGTAATCACATAGAATTATGCATTAAGTACTGAGAAACAGTTTCCTTCACCTTTTCCCTCTGAAAATAAATACTGACAAAGGGAAACAAATTGTTGGCATTTAAGAGGATGAGAAGAAAAGGTTACAATGAATGCTCTTTGAATAAGTATGTTTGCACGTATTCAGTAGAGAAAGGTATACCTTCATTAATTATTAGGGAAGCTATGTTAAAAAAAATTTAAAGCAAATCTTTGCACCTATGCCCAATTATTTGTGAACAGGCAATTGTATCTCCTCGAGAAAAGTGAGTTCTTTTTGCTTTTATTTGTTTCTTTGTGCCCCCCTTTTCTCCCCTCTGCCCCTCCTCCTCCTCCTTTTGATTGCAGTATCACTTTAGTATATGCAGCTGCGATTTAGAGGGTGGCGCTTTGGAGGGTTCCTGTGACTTAATTGCTGAGATGTTAAACGGACTCTGAAGCCAAAAGGCTATTTATTGTACCTCTGCAGGCACAAAACCCACAACCACATCTGTCCCCTTGCGCTAGCATTGGTGGTAGTCTTCCTTCAAAGGAGGCCGTAGGGCTGGAGCTTAGAGCATGCGCAGTCACAGGAGCCTCACGGATTCTCTAACAACGCTGACCTCTGCACTTCACATCAGCGACTGGGTTCATGCAGAAGGAAATTGACTGCAGAATAACCGGGCTGTTTATTGCCTATTACTCAGCTTGCTAGTAACCATTACGCCGCACTGTGGATTTCTTTGTTGAATCTTCAGAGCAAATTGCATCTTTGCATCTTTTACTTTGTCAGCTTAGCTCAGCTGAATTTAATAACGTGATACCAGCACAAATGTAAGGCGTTTACCTGTTCAAATATAGAGGTGTCCAAATCACGTCTTGACACTGCTCCAGAAAGATCTAACAGGTGTCAACTAAGATAGAAGCTTTCTAGTTAACCCATCCCCCCAAAAAAGCTCTCATTTTCTTTTATTCAGGAATAGGATTTACAGTACAGGTTTTTCTAGCTCTTGTCCAAGTATTTGGGGGAAAGAATAAGACAAATTATTTCTCAAGGACATGGCAGGAAATGGGATTTGGATAAATTTCTTATTCAGAAAAAATTCCATCAGGATTTTAAGAATATTTTCCCCTTTTTTCTATTTTTTTTTTCTTTTTTCTTGTGTAATGATTTGCAATTTGGTGAATCTCAAATTTTGACTTCTTTTACATTATCCTCATTAACTGCAGTTCCTGTATCTAATGCTTGTTTTCTTCCACAAGCTCTAAAATGTTCTCAGTTAATATCTTCAAATACAGCTTCTACCTCATTCTCTATCTCTCTTTTCTTCCATCATCCCAACTGGACCAATATTAGACCACCTTATTCTGTCCTTCATGTCTGTTTTGTATTTTCTATTTCTTCATAACTCTGGGTTTCAATTACAATTTCATGTAAAATCATCTGTTGAGTTTTACATTTTTATTATATTTTTCATGTATAGAACTGTTGAGTTTTACATTTCTTTTAACTCTTCACTCACCATTTTATATATATTTTTTATTTTGGAAACGTTTTAAACAAGCTTATTTTTATTTTTTCAGTTTTAGAATTCCTACATATGAAGACTTTTGAGACTTAATATTGTTTATGCTTGCTCTTATTCACAGAGTCTTGTTTCTCTATATGTTTATTGATTTTTTTTAATCTTTACTTTGAGCTTTCTCATTTTCATTTGAACTTTATCTGTGGAAATTCTTTGAGGCCTGAGAAGAATTTCTTCATGGGAGAATTATCATTTGCTTCTGTCAGGTATTTGTGAACATTATCCGCGCTGTATCAATTTAAACTAAATCACTGGCTTCAGATTTTTTGCTTGAGTGTGTATGTTTCCTAATACCAGATCATGTGAATCTCGTATACAAACTTGAATGGAAGCCTAATTGTGGTTATGAATCTTCAGGAGAAATTCTTTCCACCTCCCCTGAGAATCAAGGTTGAATAATCAAGTTTTAACATAGGAACTTTTGTGTTCAGTTCCAGATTAATGCCAGGGATTATTTCTAATTCATTCTTTAAAGCTGGAGTATAATGCTTTGGGGTTCCACTTTTGCTTAGAGGGAATCTCCTGATATAATCTCGAACTTGAGTGCAACATAGGCTTTGTCTTCCATCCATGAAACCTTAACAACTAATGCTTGAGAGTTTTTGTGCTCAGCAAATGCCACTAAGGCAAAAAACCAAGGTCAATGCTTTACTTATGTCTCATGGTTTCTGCCTTAAACTTATTTAAGTAAGCAGGTCCTAGTTGTCTAGAAAAAGGCTCTGGAAGTACCAGAGGAACAAGAATTACCAAAAATAAATTTGACTACTTCTTTTACAGTCAGCCTAGCATTTACTTTTATTTTTTTAAAGTAGCCACAAAATGTATCTTTCTTACTCAAAAAAATCCTTTCAGTATTGATTTTAAGTAATATAAACAAGCATTCATGGTCGTTGAATAGTCAATTGCTGCTACCAAACCTGAGGTCTAAGCATTTAAGAACAGGGATTTGTACTACTATTTGCTGCCCTCTGCAGGTGAATCTAAAACTCACAGACAATATTGGAATTCTGGGAAAAAAAAAAAAAAAAAAAAAAACTTCCGTATTCTAAGGCAGATGTACATTAGTGAACTTGAAATAAGACTGTTCATGAAATTGCAAAGTATTTCTATTTCTGTTTCATATATGCCATGTGACTGGGATATTTTACATGTTGGATGATTGGAAATAGGTATTTATTTCTCTTTCGAGAAGGTTAGCAATAAAAAGAAAAGAGAAATATGCTTGATAGAAGTTATGAGTTGGTTGGATTTTGATTCTCAAATAACAGTGTAGTTGAACATATAGGTCAAATTGTGAAGCATCACTTGACTGGTATTGAATCATTTTTTTTCCTTTAATATCCTTTTCATTAGTTGACTGTCCCTCATTCAAGGAAACTCTTCTGGAATAAGTGCAAATATCAGCCTTCAGGTTCAAAAGCCCTGATGCAAGTTTAACATTTAAAAAATGTAAAAGATTGTATGTCTCATTTAATTCCTCCAGCTATTGAGTTTCAAAGTATAGATATGGATACTAGACACCCCCAAAATGTATTAAGGACTGTAAAAGTGAATGGTTTCTGAGCCTACTTTACTTATGGGACCCAGAGCAACTGAAACATTCTATTCCACAGAATATTCCCACAGAATGTTCTTTTCTATGCAAGTACAGATATAATTTCCTAAATATAGCTGCATAAGATATGGGGGCAGTGAAAGATCTGATGCAACCCCAGGGAGCATCCTATGGCCTGGTTTGGCTTGGGAGTTCTGAAAGATTCCAGATAGAACATAAAAGTCAGAGAGATAGACAGAGAGAAAGAGAGAGAGTGTGGGTATGTGTGCATGCCCATTAGCTGCCCTGCAGGCGTTCTCTGGAGTGCCAGAAATCACAACAGCAGATCACATCTTGGCTGTAATCACATCTTGATATTGAAGTCAGCATGTAAAGAGAACCCACAAGTACCATAAGCAATGAGTTACATTTCAAAGATTACAACACAGCATTGAGACAGACCAAACAACAGAAATTGTCTCCCAAACCTAAGGTGAAAGAGTGTGATGGAGAATAGATTGTGAATTTGAGTAAAGTCTGAAACACTCAGAAATCATGGAGCAATGGAATTTACTTGAAAATAAGTTTTATCCTTCAGACAGAAAGGGGTCTTGAGATAGAGATTTTATCAGATGAAAGAAAAACATTACATTTTTCACATCAGCATTTGTGATGGGAAAAAAATAGTGAAAGGCTCAAAAGGATGCCTTTGTCCATTTTTCACTAGCATCTGACTCTGTTTACGT